TTCTTTTTTTTTTTTTTTGTTGCTTAACTCAAAGTGTCTGATGAGATACTGATACCTCAGGGAATAATACCACATTATTTTTCCTCCTCTAGTATAATCATTTGTCTCTTTAAATTGACATCAGCTGAGGCCACTAAGACCCTCACACCAAAAAAACTTGTGACCCTCTGCGCTGCCTTCAAGGCTTATTTTATACTTCTTGGTCTGGTTGTTTTTCATGTGAGTCACAGTACATATTTTGGAGGCAATTTCACATATTATGGCAACCTAGTCATCTCTGTTCCTTCTACTGGCCCCCTTTAAAGTGCTAAGATGAGCCCTTTTTGGACTAAAAGTTTTCTTTCTGAGTAAGTCTTTCATTACCATAGAAGAAAATGATGCTGTCCAGAAGCAGTAGTTGGCAATGGTTTTCAGTCAGGCTTCTTAGCTGCTGCTTTCATTCTACGTGAGGTTTCTTAAGTTGTATTTCTGTATTCAGTTCTTCTGCTTTATCTCATCCCAGGATTGTCTACCATATAGCTTGGACTATTCCTCTAATAGCAGTCTTCAGGGAATCATCTTCTGGCTTTATCTCACTTACTTAGCTTCTACTCAAGACTACTGTGCGTTGTAAGTTATCCCACAAGATCTACATTCTTCCTCTGCAAAACATGTGCTTTTGCTCCTGCATCAAAATCAATCACAGATCTGGGGCCCCTGAGAGATATGTCTTTTCAGAATACTCAGAAAATGATGGGAGGAGACTGCAGATGAAGATCACCTTATCCATCTGTTTTACACAGATGTTCTCACAAGGGATGGAGGCCCAATACAACAGAAACACAGTGGTGAACTTGGCAAGAAGCATCCCTAGGAAATTCTTCAGGAAGCAACATTTAGAGAGTGCTGTTTCACAGAGTAAAGTTGCAATCACACGTTAAACAGGAGATGGTCATCACTGAAATGGGGTTATCATGTCCATGCTTGGGCAGAAAAACATAGCTATCTAATTTCTTCTTTTTTTTGGTGATAACTCACCTAACCGAATTGAGATATTCTCTCCAACGCCACCATAAAGACTTATTTCAGGTCAAGAAGCAAAGAGACCTTATACCCTTATCCCTTGAAAGGATATACTTAAACACTGGCACATACTAGTCTTAAGAGTTAAGTCTGGCAGCTATTGTGCTGATGAAACAATATAGAAATGGTAAAGTAAGTATTTAGGTAGAGGTAAAAAAACTGTACACAAAATATGTGGATCAAATTCTATCTCAGACACTGTTCCAGGAGGCTGTATGGTGCATGGCATCCCACTGTGTCCCTACTGGAGTGCATTTGGCGGCAGGACTGGTATTTCTTGCAGCTGGAGGAACGGCTACTTCTGTGGCATTCATCAAGGGACAGAATGCAAAATGTCTCCCAGGTAATTTTCACAGCCAGTCAGTGATATGCCTGAGCAAAACTTTATGAGAGACCTACTTACACAGAGGAATAGATTCAAATCAGTGTACTCTGCTTGGCCTCCTCTGTGTTGGTATCTCTGAACATGTCTTTTCACCCTTGTTCTTTATAGGCAGTGAACACATGTTCACCACTCTCACAGTCTTCAGTTAATGGGAACACTTCAGTCTTCTCTTAGTCGTCACAAGGATTGCTTTCCATGGACAAAATTATCCAAGAATCTCCCCATCACTTTCAGGATTCTGTTATAAAGAAATGGTGCCTGGTAGGTGGATCTACTCTCTCCAGGTCTATACCTTATAATTTATTTTGCATTTGGAAGCACTTAAAAATCAATTTATATAGTATTTAGTGCAGTGTTCTATATAAGAGTTAATGGTATATTAGTTCTGTTATACAAGTTATAGCACTTATTACAGTGTCATACATTGTATAAGACTAAATGATCTACTGGAGACTACTGGCTGCAGTGTGGACAGCCCCATACCACATAAAATGTGGTGACTGTTATGGTTAAATCTGCAAGGAGTTACCATTTTAAAAAAAGGGGTTTTTTAAATGGCCGTAACTTTCTAAAATGTTCCCCATTTTTGGTTGTAGGTCTGGCCTGCCCAGCTGGGAATATTTATGAAAGTTTGAAC